CTGAAATCTTTGCCCAAGTTTGGCTCAGGCTTTGGTGAGGGCGTGGCTGACTTCACTCACTGTTATAGACACTCAATTGTCTGGAAAGCTGCACTTTAGTCTTTCATTTTCACTCCAAGCTCGTGTGTGTGGCATTTGAACTCCCATATGTAAACATTTAAACACACTACTGACACACAGTCATCATCGTTATGACCAGGACTGTACCAAACAAATCTACAGATTCATAATTACACTTTATTAGAATCATCCTGTGTGTCTGTGTGTGTACATGTGTGTGTGTGCATGTGTGTGTGTGCGTGTGTGTGTGCATGCATGTGTGTGTGCATGTGTGTGTGTGCATGTGTGTGTGTGCATGTGTGTGTGTGTGTGTGTGTGCGTGTGTGTGTGCGTGTCTTTCAAGCATTTGACCCAAACAGTGAGGTAAACTGACCTAAATCTAGTGCCACTGGAGCACTAGAGAGTAGAGCACAGTCACATGAGTGACAACAGCCTCAGCTGGGGCCCGCTGCCTGTCAGTCCCCCCCGCCCCTGTCGGTCCTGTCTACCCTGTCTGTCCCTGTCGCCCCTGGAACATTCCCCACCCCCTCATCCATCACCAACTTGTCACTGACATCACTGAACTCAGCCGGGCCACAGGAAGTGATGTGAGCGAGGATTTCCTGTGACGCCACAGCCGGTCGTCATGGTTTCCTCTCGGAGCAGACACACTTGTGCACAGGACAAAGGAGAATAAAGGAGCAGGACAATGGAACAGGGGTCCAAGAGCGCAGACAGCTGAGGGTCACCTCAAAGACTGGGCACGAGCGCAGACGCTTCGAACTGTGTTACTCACATAAAACGGAAGGAAGTGTCTGTGTTGAGCTGCACAAAAAAAGCAAAAGCAGCGTTCAAACTCAGGGCCTTGACAGTGTAGACACATAAAAGTGTTAAGAATAATAAACTCCAGAAGCCCAGCAGGTTAGACAGCACTTCAGCCCGATGGATCTAGTTTTTCTGTGACATTGTCATTTCAAACAACATATTATGTTCACAGTTTGAAGAAAAATGTCTATTTATTCATTTGAAATTGTAAATACATATTTCCAGATGTTTCGATACAGCTGCCCACGATAGTGATACTGATCACTGAACAAGGATATGTATTTTCACAAGCAAAACATGCCTAGAGATTTCAAAGGCAAAACATGTTATAAAACCATAGCTCCTTTTAATGAAGTCCATAAATCGGAGGTAACAGTACAGATAGAGGTGTGAGGGGCCCTCCTTAGTGGTTCTAAAGGTCATAACGTTCCCAGCAGAGCGGACAGGGCCGGAGCGGACAGGGTTGGAGCGTTTTTTAAACTCCATATACCTCCACCAGAATAATATGGATGATTTCTGTCCTGGAATTGCAAATGTTTACTGAACAAAAGGTGAAAAGAGCTGTTCACTTGAAAACTACCGCCTCATGACGTCACAGGTTCGCACAGAGCATTTTGAGCTTTGGAGATGTAGACAGACTCATCATAAAGAGTTTCTCAGTCATGTGTGAATGAAACAAAACTCCAGGTGTGTTTGTGAGGAGGTAACAACACGGCTTAACGCTCATAAGAATCCATTTAGTATAATACAGGACCTTTAAAGTACATTCTAAACTCCCATAAAAGTCACATTAGCCTGTCTCCTTTAAGCCTCAGATCACACGGCGCTCCAGAAAAGCTCAGCGTTTTCCTCTGCCTGCTCAGCTGCTGCCTGCGTCGCCGCCGCTCATAAAAGCTGATAATTATAGGTATATGGCAACGCCGTCTGTGGAAAACTGCGGAAAACTGAGGAAAACTCTGCAGTATTCCCGTCTAAACAAAGAGCCCACTGCAGTCATCCACATTATTCACCGTGATGAGTTTACAAGGGTGTGTTTTTTTACTATTCTCAGAGGCCAGAGAGGAGTCGCTTCCACAGTAATGCTGACTGCAACTAGCATGCTATAACAACAGACTTCCTGATTCTTGGACAATTCAGGTCTAGTCCCGTTTTAGTCCTGGATTGGCGTCAGTATTGATTCAGTCCTAGTTACATCTTAGTTTAGTCCTGGTTCAGTCCTAAACGAGTCCTGGTTTAGTCCTGGTTCAGTCCTGTTTCAGTCCTGTTTCAGTCCTGGTTCAGTCCTGGTTCAGTCCTGGTTCAGTTTTGGTTCAGTCCTGGTTCAGTCCTGGTTCAGTCCTGGTTCAGTCCTGGTTCAGTCCTGGTTCAGTCCTGGTTCAGTCCTGGTTCAGTCCTGGTTCAGTCCTGGTTCAGTTCAGTCCTGGTTCAGTCCTGGTTCAGTCCTGGTTCAGTCCTGATTCAGTCCTGGTTCAGTCCTGGTTCAGTTCTGGTTCAGTCCTGGTTCAGTCCTGGTTCAGTCCTGGTTCAGTTCTGGTTCAGTTCTAGTTCAGTCTGGTTCAGTCCTGTTCAGTTCAGTCCTGGTTTAGTCATTCTGGTTCAGTCCTGGTTCAGTCCTGTTTCAGTCCTGGTTCAGTCCTGGTTCAGTCCTGGTTCAGTCCTGGTTCAGTCCTGGTTCAGTCCTGGTTCAGTCCTGGTTCAGTCCTGGTTCAGTCCTGGTTCAGTCCGTTCAGTCCTGTTTCAGTCCTGGTTCAGTCCTGGTTCAGTCCTGGTTCTGTCCTGGTTCAGTCATGAGAGAGAGAGATGCTTTATTAATCGTGAGGTCAGTCAAAGGTCTCAGTGCAGTTTAACAGGAGGACTGGTTCAGTCTTGGTTGAGTCTTAGTTTAGTCATCCTGGCATTGTCATCAGGTCAGTCCTGGTCATAGACTGTATACAGAAAGAAGTGGACTAAGTGAGCACGACTTCACCCACGGTGTTCAGCTCCAGTCAAATGAAGCTCATGAGGCGAGCTGTTAAAGGGGCAAATTTGGACAAAAAACTTAAATAAAAACCCCAGGATCATGTAGAGCGGGTTAATATGAACATTTTAAGTATATAATAAATAAAAATAAAAAGGCGGAGTCAGTAAGACGGTCTGTGGTCCTAGTTTAGTCCTAGTTTAGTCCTGTTTTAGTCCTGTTTTATTCCTAGTTTAGTCCTGTTTATTCCTAGTTTAGTCCTATTTTAGTCCTAGTTTAGTCCTGTTTTATTCCTAGTTTAGTTTTCCTGTTTAGTCCTAGTTTAGTTTAGTCCTGTTTTAGTCCTAGTTTAGTCCTGTTTTAGTCCTAGTTTAGTCCTGTTTTAGTCCTAGTTTAGTCCTGGTTCAGTCCTGGTTCAGTATTCCCGACTAAACTAGAGCAGTCATGCACATAATTCACCGTGATGAGTTTATAAGTGAGTTTCACAACTTTCGGACACCAGAGTGGAGTATTTTTCTGTTACAGTACTGCTAACAACAACTACCATGCTAACAGAGAACTTCCTGATTTGATTCTCAGATATTAAAACGCTTTGTTATTAGTAGTGCTGTCACAATACAAACATTTCAAACTTGATTTTGGTAGTAAGGACTAAAGAATAGACTAGAACAGTTTGTCATTTCATTATTCTGCTTTAGCATCAAACAAAAACACAGATTTCGATCTCTATTTCCAATATTCAATGTAAAGTTTATTTCAGGTAACACTAATAAATAAAACAGTCTTGGTGCTAATTTCAGTTTAGGTATTTTATTCTTTCTGGTTTATTTGACCCGGAAGTTCTGCTTCAGTGTCAACAACGGATCTATAATAAAAACTATTTTTATTATAGTTCTATGGCATCAACTGAACAAAATTTATCGCTGCTTCCTGTTTCTTGTCATGGAGTTCAACATTTACTTTCTAAGATGCAAAAAGAAATGTAACATGTTTGTTGACAAAACTGCAATGATTTTTCAGATGAGTCCTTCTAGCAGCAGAACTTCCGGAGCGAATAAAATATCAAAATTAAAATAGGCATGAGCTGTTTTGTTCTTGTTGTTGTTCTTCTTCTCATTGTTGTTATTGTTGTTGTTTTTCTTCTTGTTCTTGTTCTTCTTCTCGTTCTTGTTGTTGTTGTTTTTGTTGTTCTTCTTGTTGTTGTTCTTCTTCTTCTCGTTAGACCCGAGCGCCATGGGTGGCGTAGGGCCTATTGTTACTGTTCAGCAGTGCAAAGCACTGCGGGAAGGCGTGCGCACAGCGCATGCAACAGAGCGCAAAGTGCTCTCCCCTTTCCAAACACACACTCACACTCACATGTCAGTGACTGGTGCCCGCTGACATGGCACGGTGGCATTGCCCGTGGGCCGCGGCATCAGCCTAATTGTTATTGTTCACTCAAAAGGTAGGGCGCACTTGACATGTTGTTGTTCTTGTTGTTGTCTTCTTCTTCTTGTTGTTGTTGTTGTTTTTGTTTGTTCTTCTTGTTGTTCTTCTTCTCGTTCTTGTTGTTGTTCTTCCTCTTCTGGTTCTTGTTGTTGTTGTTGTTGTTTTTGTTTTTGTTGTTGTTTTGTTGTTCTTCTTCTTCTCATTCTCGTTGTTGTTCTTGTTATTCTTATTCTTGTTGTTGTTGTTGTTGTTGTTGTTCTTGTTGTTCTTATTCTTGTTGTTATTTTGTTGTTGTTGTTGTTGTTGTTCTTATTCTTGTTATTTTTCTTGTTGTTGTTTTGTTTTTTGATATAGACTTCAAATTAAATATTGGAACTAGAGGTTGAAATCAGTTTTTTTTTTTTTGTTTCTTTGACACTAAAGCAAAATAATGAAATAACAAACTCTTTTCCCATTTGACTGTTTTTCATTCTTGATTGAAAAAAAAACAAAAATCGAATGGTACATGGACCTTTAAAGCTCACGAGGGTCCATTTGTGTAAAGTAGAACCGTTAATATCTGTAGACTGGGCTGGTTGTTGCCTGTGTGAACCCGGTTGGTTTTTGAACCCGAGCGGAGGCAGGAGGAGGCGTGGCCAGACACGGGGAGAGGGGCGGGGCTGAGGACGTGGTGGGAGGAGCCGGGAGCAGCAGCGGCGGGTAGAGTGAGGGAGAGAGGGAGACCGGCTGTAGTAGAGGCTCCTGTCAGCTCCGGAGTGACTGCTCATAGGCACGCGGGCAGGGAATCCGTCAACACAAGGTAACCTGGCTTTAATTATCCACTCCAGCTGTGAAAACGTGACATCTGCGCCGGGTGAAAAGAGTGTGTGGTAAGACACAATCATATGGTTTGGAGCTTTCTATAGCTTTAAATAACTTTACCAACTTCAAGCCAGACCAAAATGGAGAAAATTGTACTTTTTAATTTACATTTTTTGTGTGTTTTATAGGTAATATATGTGTCCTTTTTAAGTTGTTCCTTAAGTTGTTTGAAGTTGAAGCTACGTTTAAGTGTTCCGTATAATTAGAATTGAATTTGATGAGGACTTCTATAGACGAAAAATGATTTCATCTCATATTTCTGCTAAGTACAATGTGCGGTTTGATCAAAATATCAGGCTTTGAATTTGTTGTTTCCTGGTTAAGTTCCTTGTTTAGTTTCTTGTTTAGTTCCTGGTTTAGTCCTTTTTTAGTCCCTAGTTTAGTCTTTGGTTTAGTCCCTGGTTTAGTCTTTGGTTTAGTTCCTGGTTTAGTCCTTGGTTTAGTTCCTGGTTTAGTCCCTGGTTTAGTCCTAGTGCCATCATGTAGTTCCTGGTGTAGTTCTGACTTTGAGCTGCTTGAGTCCTGGTTGAGTCCTGGTTGAGTTCTGCTTGAGTCCTGGTTTAGTCCTGTTTTAGTCCCTAGTTTAATCCCTAGTTTAGTCCCTAATTTAGTGCAGTCCTGGTTTAATCCCTGTTCTAGTTCTAGTGCCATCGTATATTCCTGGTGTAGTTCTGACTTTGAGCTGATTGAGTCCAGGCTTGAGTCCAGGCTTAGTCCCTGGTTTAGTCCCTGTTTTGTTTGCTGGTTTAGTTGATGGTGCAGTCCTGCTTTAGTCCTGGCTTGACTCCTGCTTGAGTCCTAGTTGAGTCCTGGCTTGAGTCCTGGCTTGAGTCCTGGCTTGAGTCCTGGCTTGAGGCTTGAGTCCTGGCTTGAGTCTTGGCTTGAGTCCTGGCTTGAGTCCTAGTTGAGTCCTGGCTTAAGTCCTGCTTGAGTCCTGGTTTAGTCCCTGGTTTAGTCCCTGGTTTAGTCTCTAGTTTAGTCTCTAGTTTAGTCCCTGGTTTAGTTCCTGGTTTAGTCTCTGCTTTAGTCCTGGCTTTAGTCCTGGCTTTAGTCCTGGCTTTAGTCCTGGCTTTAGTCCTGCTTGAGTCCTGGCCGAGTCCTGGCCGAGTCCTGGCCGAGTCCTGGCCGAGTCCTGGCCGAGTCCTGGCCAAGTCCTGGTTTATTGTGGCTTTAGTCCGTGTTCCTTGTAAATGTCTGGAGAATAGGACGTGCTCTTTATCTCTTATCTCTGTGTACACAATAGTAAAGTCCTGCTCTAGTCCTGGGTCACTTATGGTTTAGTCCTGGTTCAGTCCTGGTCACTTCCTCTGCTTCTCCCAACTCCAGTGCAAGTGCCAAGTGTGGGCGACCACAGGAGCTTTACCGTTTTACTCACGTGTTTCTGATCAACTCTCAACTATTGATCAACTCTTTACTTTTGTTAAATTCAGTTACCATGGATACCCCTTCTGCCCTGTCGACTACCATATGAACCTGCCCTTGTTTTGAAAAGGTTCTAATCGCCGAAAACAACATATCTGCTCCCGTTTCTCCCCGTGCTAAATCACTCCCCCTTCAGAGCGCTATCACATCACATCGCACCAGGTTTGTCGAGCTGCTGTGTGCAGTTGTGCATCATGTTTTTAGAATACTTACGGAGAATTGTTGTGTCGGAGCATGGACTGAATATCATTAAGAAGCTGCCGATACATAGGTTACGATACGATGCATACCTCGATACGTAGGCCATGATACGATACATACCTCGATACGTAGGTTACGATACGATACATACCTCGATACATAGGCCATGATACGATACATACCTCGATACGTAGGTTACGATACGATACATACCTCGATACGTAGGCCATGATACGATACATACCTCGATACGTAGGTTACGATACGATACGATACGTACGATACGATACATACTCGATACGATACGATACGATACATACCTCGATACATAGGCCATGATACGATACATACCTCGATACGTAGGTTACGATACGATACATACCTCGATACGTAGGTTACGATACGATACATACCTCGATACGTAGGTTACGATACGATACATACCTGGATACGTAGGTTACGATACGATACATACCTGGATACATAGGTTACGATACGATACATACCTGGATACATAGGTCACGATACGATACATATCTGGATACATAGGTCATGATACGATACATACCTCGATACATAGGTCACGATACGATACATACTTCGATACACAGGTCACGATACGATATATACCTCGATACGTAGGTTACGATACGATACATACCTCGATACGTAGGTAATGATACGATACATACCTCGATACATTGGTCGTGATACGATACATACCTCGATACAATGCGCTTTTGATTTGATACGATGTATTTCAAAACGATTCTATACAGTTCAATAAAAATAAAGTCTAAATCATGGTTGTGACACTAAAAGTCTGTGTTAAATCACTTCTTGTGCAAAGTTCATATGAAACACAAACATTTTACTCATCAAAACAGTGAAAATGTCGAATGTGTCACATAAACAACTTTCCTTCTTCTAAACAAGCAACAAAACTATAGTTCTGTAACAAAATAATTGAGTAAAATATACAAAAAATACCGCATTTTCCACATTATAGGACACGCTCTTAAGCTTCCAACCCCATCAAAAAACGACTGCGCACCACAATCCAGAGCGCCCTATACACGAATCCACTCAGGTGTCCCAGCACGACTTCAGTAAACTACAAATCCACAAACACACACAGAGCAGACAGCGACCGCACAGTGAAAAACACCCACAGACACACTCATCACTCCACGCTGACGAGGAACGGAACAGAGGAACGAACCGAAAAAGCGAGTGCAATGTGCCACTTCTAGACACAACTGAACAACTGAGTCACTGTGAACACGCCGACAATCCAGCGTCCCAGACAGCACCCTCCCTACACGCCACAACTGAACAAAGCCCAGAGTCACCGTGAACGCCACAAACAAACAAAACCTGTTTCCTTTAAAGTCCGGTGTGGTTTATTTGTGAAAAAAGTTCGAAAAAAGACCAAATACTGTACTCTTGCTGTACTGTATTTCGATATTTTTGCACACCCCTAGTGGGAGCATGGGTGATATAGGCTTGTGGGCGCAGAATCTTACAGAAGGGGTTGAATATGGCCCAGCAGAGATCGCAAAATTACTCAAACATCCATGGATGACTTCAAAACGTCTCAAGGTTGTTTTTGACGAAGGAACAATGTTAAAACTTGGGAGAAAGCTCCAAAAAAATCAGATTTACATAACACGCCCCTCTATTGTCTTGTTAATTCTTGCACTATTGTGATCCTGATATGATCGTGCGTTACTAAGCAGAGCCTGCAGGGGGAGCTCCAGTCTGGCCCGTGTAAAAGAGCTGGCTCGGTTCTTCTGTGCAGCTGACAGTCTCATTTAACTCCTACATGTAAACAACAATTGTCAAAGCACTCAGACGCAGCCAAAAGCTTTCCTCTTCTGTCACTCCAATTGTAGCGTGTCTTAAAAGTGAGTGATGCTTCAGGGTTCCACATTCTCTGTTTTTCTCGTCCGCTCCGGGCCGCGGTTGTTCACGACGTGGCTGCTTTAGTCTCGTATGAAAAATGAAAGCAGACAGTAGTACAGTGTGTGCAGCGGCCTGGTGACTGCGTGTGGGGACTTGAACCAGCAACTCTAGGATTTAAACGTGGTTCTTGGGTTAAAGTTTGTTTCTTGTTGTGAAAAATTTGCTAAAATGTTTCAAAGGAGTAAAATAGAGCAGGAGTTAAAATGTGAACAGGTAAAGTTTTCAGCAGGTTTTAAAAAATGTTAAAGTAAAGTGTGTAACTTTCTGGAGTTGCCACGTCGCCTGTATGATTCCATGGAAAAAAGAAAGTTAAAACCATACTTCAAATCATTCTCATGGAAATAAGCAAGATAAATAAGGCTACGTTCAAACTGTAGGACTTAACGCTCAATTTGGATTTTTTTTTTATTTTTTTTTGTGAAATCCGATGTTTTTTCGAGGTCGTTCACATTTCCAATTAAATGTGACTTGTATGTGACTCCAGTGTGAACGTTAAATAGCCCGAAAGTGTCCCACATGTGACACTGGAGACACGACGACGTCAACCTCAGCGAGCGTCTCTGTGTTTACAGAAGTTGTTCAAACATGGACGCAGCATTGAGCACCTGGAGATTTTAAAGTTCCTCTCGTACCGGAGCCAGAACATGAACAACTTACTTGTTTTAAGGAGGAGATTGAGAAGGAGAAGGACGAGGTTTAGATCTGGTTTGGACCTGGTCTTAGTCCTGGTTTAGACCTGTTTTAGTCTTGGTATAGACCTGGTTTGGACTTGGTTTAGACCTGGTTTTAGTCCTGGATAAGACCTGGTTTTAGACCTGGTTTTAGTCCTGGTTTAGTCTCTGGCAATGAGTGGAATTACCAGGGAAAAAAAGGGATATAGCCTAAATGTGAAAACGGGAAAATACCGCCGTATAATCTATTTACTTTAACAAAGTAACTGTAATCCAATTACCACTCATTGAAACAGTAATTGTAACTGAATACAGTTACTCATCATTTGTACTCTGATTATGTAAGTCCAGTACATGTAATCTGTTACTCCCCAACACTGTCAGTACAGTGAATAATTGAAATCTGTGCATGTTTAACATGTTAGAGTGAACCATCTTTATCTTTATTCATGTTAAGATCCTTAAAACCACACAATAAATATTGAATATTAACTCTATCAATGTAGATTTTCAGAAAACTTGCAGTAAAAAGTTCATTTTTAATTGATGCAAGGCAATTTGGGCCAATTCAACCAAGAAAAATTGGTCTGCGGGCCATAGTTTGGACATGTCTGCAGTAGAGGGAGCTATTTGCATTGACATGGATGATCATTTTTGTGTCTATCATAATAGTTAAAGACCTAGAAGAGTTATAGATATAGAGATATTTTCTGTCAAAAGGTTTGCAGACTTGAAACTGGACAAAGTTT